TAGAAATGATTTATAAAATTGTTTGGGAAAATAATTAGAATTAAAAAATAAAATACATAGTTGTCATTTAGTGTGGCTCTAACCGCCGAATTTGTGTGACTAGTCATTATTTTGATAACGAATGTAAATTAAATAAATCTTTATTAGATTTAGATTAATGGATGGATCATAGTATTCAACAATTTTAATAAAATTGTTGAAGTTTTAGATGATTATGATTTTATTAAAAGTGTAAGTTTAACTTAGATAATGCAAGTTCTAATAGTACAGCTATAAAGTTTTTTAAAAGTAATTATCCTTTTATAACAATTTGAAGTTTTTTCACTAACGTTGTGCATGTCACATTATTAATTTAATTGTGAAAACTAGTATGAAACAATTAGAGATAATATTGATAGAATTAGAGATTCTTTAACTTGGATTACTAGTAATAATAAAAAATACTCAATTTCAATATGCTTGTATAAAATCAAATATGTCTTCTAGAACTTTTGCATTAGACATGTCTTTTGATGGAATAGTACTTATTAATGCTTGATTCTGTTTACCTTATGCAAATTTAATTAGTTATTTTGTAACAATATAGAGGTCTTCTTATTTGGTAAAAATGATTGGCATATAGCTAAAAATTTCATTCTTTTCTTAAATTTTTTTACCAATCCACTTTACAACTTTTTGGTATGTATTATCCTATTAGTCCATTAGTAATACATACAATTATAAAATTTCAGATTTATTTAGAAAAAACAAAAACAATGAAATTTTAAGGGAACCACTAAAGGCAATGGATTTTTTTTTAAATATTGGAAACCCATTCATTTTCTTTATTGTTTAGGTGCTATATTTGATCCTAAATTAAGTAGCAAGTTTAGAAAATGGTTTAGACACATTAACTGAAAATTACAAAACGGCATATGCCAATCAACAGGAGAGGTAAGAGTGTCGTCAAAGGTATATTTGCAATATGAAAACAGGTATGGGAACCAGCAAAAGAGCGAAATACCTAGATAAGTTGCATCAGAAGAAACAAATGAAGACTTCGACTCTTGGGTGCACTTAATGGCCGAAGAGACCCAAACTCAAAGCACAACCTCCTCTTCAGAAGCACCAAATGAATTATTGTTCTCCATGCAGTCACAGAGTAATGAGCTTCATAAATATTTGGGAACCCCCGAAGTGTTACCAGCATATCTACAACAAGAGCCAACTGTGATGTCTTAGAATTTGGAAACATTTAGTGCAAGTGGAAGAATTTTAAAAAGGAGACTAAACTTTCACCAAAAAAATGATTGAAGTTTCACATGTCTCGAGATTGAACGGTCACGCCATCAAGTCAATACGAGGTTGTCGACGATACTTTATAGATCATTTCAATTTTGTAATATAGATGATACGGACGAGGGATGTCCTAGTCAACCCCCAAATTAGTTTTTTTGTAAATTGTAACTTGTAAATTATTGTCAATTATTGCACTCTTTTTTCCTTACCGTTTTTGTCCGATTGGACTTTTCTTGGTAAGGTTTTTAACGAGGCAATAATTGTTGTAATTCTTATTTATTTTTCGATAAATGAATAATCTAATTTTTCTTATATTACAATTTTATTGTATTAACATTGAATTAATATTGAAATGTTAACAAAAAAAAAATTAATTGAATTGAATTATTGATATTTGAAAAGTTACTAAAAACAATTACATAAAAGAAAAAATAAAAAAAAATGTGGGCTACCCCGCCCGGGCCGCATCATAACCCAACGGGTTAGGGTTGGCGGTCGGGGCCGGGCCAGCCTTTATGGCCAAGAGGCAGGCCGGGTTTGTTGGCGGGTCGGGTTAGGCCCGTCCCGCCAACCCCCATAATCCGCCATTGGTCGGGCCGGGCGGGTCATTTTTCCACCACTATTTATAATTAATAGACAAAATTAGAATGTACTAATACAACACATCAAAAGAAACAATACGATACAATAAATTTAAAATCATGTTAACGAAAAAGTTAAGGTTTCGAGTACAATTTACCTCAACATCATTGAAATTAGGCAAACTGGACTCTTCCATATTCTATAATATAATGCAAAACCAATACTAGTGTTCGTGTTCACGAATCTAATTCACAACAATCATCGACAAATATTCTCTATCAGTTTTTTTCTATTGTAACATATATTCAATCCAAGATAGAATACAAAATTAAATAAATGCATAAGTTAAATAAAAACCACTTAACAACCTCAAATCTTTCTAATGTGGACAAATTTTGATCTTCTTATCTCCCTTTCCACTGTAAACAATTGTTTTACGAAAAATTTATGGCTTTTGTTCTTGTCATAGTAGTTGGTTTTTGAGGAAGAAACGGCTGTTGAGGAAGAAACTCAGGAAGAATGCAGACGCGAAGAACAGACGGGAACGATGAAGCAGAAGGCGGCGATAGGTATAAAATGAAGTTTTTTCTTTTTTCTTTCGCTCGAAGAATTTTGGCACTGGTTTTTGGAGAAGTCGTATTGGAGAAGCTAATGTTTTTCGAAGAAAAAAAAAAAGTTAATTAAAATAACATTTTATTATATTATGGACGGTCGTCCATATTATGTGGACAACCATCCTTTACATAAGGGACGGTTGTCCATTCCTTATGGACGGGCATCCATTCCTTATGGACGCCCGTCCACAAGTTAGGGATGGGTGTCCAAAGTTTTTATTTTATTTTTTATATTTACATTATGGACGGGCATCCCGTATTTGCGGGCACCCATCCAAAATTCAGGGACGGCCGTCCATAACTGATGAACGAGCATCCCTAATTTTTTTTTAATTTTTTAAAACCATTGATAATGGACAGGCGTCCATTACATATGAACGCCTGTCCATTAATTTTGTTTATAAATTTTTTATTATTTAAAGATTGGACGGGCGTCCATTATATGTGGACGGCCGTCCTTTATTTAAGGACGACCGTCCATTATTTTTATTTATATTATTTATTTCATTTACTGATGAACGGACGTCCTTTAAATGGGGACAACATCGACGGGAGTCCATGTAAGTGAACGGTCGTCTATAGTTGATGATCGGCCGTTCACTAGAAAAAAAAAATTGAACGTGAAACATGTCTGGTGTGAGTCACGGGACACGTAAGTCGGTGTAAGATTTCGATGTAGAGTCCCGGTGTCCGTAGCATTATTGATTCACTTATTACACAGAATAAAAACTTAAAATTAAAACCATCCAAATTAATAATCAGTTGTTCAGCGAATGGTAGGAACTTGAGTAAACTTCCCATCATTGTCCACCCATACCCAAACTCTATCGCACCTGAAATCCTTAGTCGTTGGAGAACCCTCCAGTATAACAATTGCATCAACATTATTGTTCTCTTTCTCTATCTGAGCAGCAGTAGCCTCCTCATTTGCACCAAGCAGCTCCGGCCATGAGCTCATCCCTGTAATAGTAATTTCTTCCCTGTATATATATATATACATATTAGTGCTGTAACTAAGTAACAATCACATCCATATAATTAACTAAACTTAGCGTTGATTATTATCTGGACAATCGGCTATATTCTTCTTTCTATTAACAACACTCTCCTTTTGTAATCTCTCCTTTTGTAATCAGAAATTGAGTGAATTCTTGCTTCTGGAGTTGTGGGAAGATAGGATCGAAATTTGTAGTGTGAAGAGATCTAGCTTTTCAAGTCACGTACAGGCAGTACAGCTGAGATCTTTGAAAAATGACTTCTTACGTATATATATATATATTGTAGTGTTTCTTTGAGAAGAATAATAAACTATGTTCTCAAATAAACAATCCAACGAGATTAATATATAATCAAGTACAGAATAATCATCAGGCATCAAAATATAAAGAGAAAAAACAAGAAAAATAAAGGACAACACTCAAGGCTTACGTCTACTCTTCAAGGCAAGGTAGTATTACATTGAATTAACTATATCTTTTAGACTTACAGATCATATTAATCTCTAAACCCAATAACAAGGAAGAATCACACGTAATTAATTGATAAACTCTAGCGCCCTTTCAATCCAATCAACTCTCTCTCACTCTCTGTTAACCAAGGGTGAGTTTTTATGCAATTAAATGGTCTCAGCATTAGCTTCCACCTGGAATCAAGCTTCCTTCCAACCGTAGCATGACTATCAAGAACGATCTTACTAGAATAGTGCGACATTGCAAATAGGAGAGGACAACAAAATTTGTTTTGCTGTAGGTGAATAAATGCCACGAAGATGAGCTAAAAAGTGGTTCTCCATTCTCTAAAAGGGGGGTGGGGGGTGGGTTGTGTTTGTTGAATGCCGGTGGTGAAATTGACTATGAAGATTTGTTTTGTCTACATAATATAATTTAATTGCATTAGGTTGTCTTTGCTTCTAAGATTACGCCGGCTGGCTAGCTTATCCATAAGCATAATAAAACGTTGAAACTAGTGACTATTATAAAGTCAATTAAATCTGATCCATTATAAAGTGATATTCAACTTTAAGCGCAGTGCATTCTGGTTTTAGTTTCGCTCTTCTCTTTGCTCTACTTCTCATGTTTTTCCATCGAGAAATAATAAATTCATACAAAGTTTTAATTGCTGAAAGTACTTTCCAGTTTCGACAAATATTGCTACGGGATTTGGTTTATGCTGAAAAAGAAAAAAAGATGCATTTGTTTGAAGTCTAAGAGATAAAATTTGATTAAAGAAAGAAGCTAGTAAAAAACAACGAGTATTGTTTATGGGGTCAATTTTCATTGCATTAGTGACAAATGGATCGAAAATCTCACTTCTTATAACATGGTAAATATATTTGGATATATCAGTCAATTAATTCAATATATGTTATGTGCCTGGCTTGGCACATTTGCTTTTGTATTATTTCGATTTGCTAATTTGCAGGTCTTTTGCAACTGATTATTAATACACGAAATCACAGTTAATCCAGCTATACATGTATATATTAATATTATGATAAGCACAAGAAAGTGATCTTAAAAAACAATATTGAAATTATTAATTTACATCCAATTTATTAAGATGCTGATAACATACATGCGTGCAAATTATGAGAAGAAGCTCCATTTATGGAACGCTTTTAACAATTATGAACAAGTATTACATGATAATTGATAAAGCAACAAGTCTAATTAATTAGCTCTTGATCGATCGGCCTGCAGCAATTCTAACCAATCTGTGGTGTTTCTTTAACGATTCCATACTTATCAACCCACACCCTGACCCTATCACACCGGTAATCCATGGTCACCATCATCCCTTCTTTGACAATCACAGCACCAACCTTTGGGTTTTCTCTCACCATGACTTCAGCTGCCACCTCTCCGTTTACACCCACTAGCTCCGGCCATGAGCTCTTACCTGTTTCTATGGTTAACAACATCGATCATACACATATTTATGTTAGATTTTAGGTTCAAATTTCAACAAGACAAGAAGGCGGACTACTATTGCTAAAAACATATATAAAATTAAAATGATTACCAGTGCAAGCTTCCATCTGCGTCGTTCTATAAACCGGCTCTGGAACTCCCAATGCTACCTTATTGTGTGAGGGCAAAAGAAAGGAGATGCAAATTTATAGAGAGGAGGGACTGTTGCGTGGAATGAGTTCAATGGAAACGTTAATGGGAAGGCAAAATTGTTGAATGTTTGACTTGCAATATCTCCTATTTACGTTTTTGCATTTTATAAGGGATATACGAATTAACAGTACTTAATTTACCCAATTATAGTGATATGAAGCTGGGTCAATTGGTTTACAAATATTTCATAGAGTAAACGACATGTGCGCACTCAAGGTTTGGTGAATCCACAAGCTTCTACCCTTGATTTCATAAATTCTATGTTCCCACCCTTAAATTAAAATTAACAAAATCCTATAATGTAACCGTTGAAGAATAAAATAGGGCCTGTTTGTTTTATTATTTCGGATAAGAATTATAGGATTTTTGAAAAAATAAGAGTTCAGTGGTTATTACAAGGTAAAATTTGAAAATTAACAAAATACCCCCTTAGGTTTGTTAATTTACTAAACACTCATGTAATAAAATATTAAAAATTAACAAAAACACCCCCACCCACCCACTAAATACTGGCAACCGGTCACCACCGTCAGAGGGTGGTCGGAGTCGTCGTAATGGCGCACAACCGGTTGGATTTGGTCGGTCGTGTGTAGATCTGACCTTTTCCAACCAGATCCATCGTAGATTTGGCTGAAAAAAGGCCAGATCTATGATCCACCGTGGATTTGACCGAAAAAGGTCAGATCTATGGCTAGATCTGGCCATTGACGGCCAGATCTGGCTACATTTGGTTGTCAACGATGACCATATCTTAGCCTTCGTTGACGAGTAGCTACAGCCAGAGATCTAGCATTTTTCGGCCAGATCCACTGTGGATCTGGCCGAAAAAGGATTTGACCAGTAGCGCGCCATTATACCAAATTCCAGCCACATGTCGGCGGTGGTGGCCGGAATCTGGCAAATGTGGGTAGGGGTGTTTTTGTCAATTTTTAAATTTTTTTTGGGTGTTTAGTTAAATTAACAAACCTAGGGGGTTTAAAATTAATAAAATATAATAAAATAAGATTTTCAAAATAGGGAAACAAATGTGTATTTTAGAAAAAATAGGAATAGGATAGTGTAAAAAGGGGAAACAAATGCACCTATAGTCATTTACACTGCATAAAATCTGGCATGAAAATCAAAATTTCAAAATAACCCTCTGTATTTCAAAATTCTCTTGCAAGCACCCCTGACAAATATCCCAACAATCCCTGCAAGTTTGAAATCTGTCGATCGCACACCTGCAACAAAAAAGGAGAAGGAGAAAGAGAAGAGAGAAAGAGGCAGAGAAGAGACAAGGAGGAAGAGCGAGAAGAAAGAAGAGAGAAAAAGGCAGGCCAGATCTAGCTGTTGGATCTGGCCACTACCAACATCTGGAAAGGAGAAAGAGAAAGAAAAGAGAAGGGAGAAAGAGGTAGAGAAGAGATAAGGAGAAAGAGAGAGAAAAGAGAAGTAGAGGGTTGAAGAAAAGGGTGTTATTGAAACAAATTAGAAAGCAAGATGGTTTAACTAATTATACTAATTTGGGGGTGAAAAGTGATTTATTAATTTATTTGTTGCAGACAGTTTAGTAATAACACTCTTTAAAACCTAAATATTAATAATAATGTTAATTTAAGGGTGGGAATTTGGAATTTATGAAAGCAGGGTGGAAACTTGTAGATTCACAAACCTTTTCATATTAATCCATCTCTTAATCTGGTGCCAAATCAATTGGAAGTGAAACTCGGAAAAGATTGAGAATGGGAGAGATTGAAATTCATATAAAATAGATTATGGTCAATTTCAGTACTATAATCCATTTTACTTTGATTCAGCCTGTACTCTGCTATATATAAAGGTCATAAATGCACAAATCGTCGTCAGTCTCTCGATCAAGTAACATTAACAGAAATCATTGGTGTATGAACGATTCTCTGTTTTTCTCCGAGTGTAATTTTCCATTCGTTAATTTAACAAGATATTGCTCTTGAGATTGGCGTATATCAGTCGGCCACGCAGCTCACTCAAGCTGAATTTAATTGTATCACTATCACACCTATATTCTAAGGATATTAACTCCTAAGCTAGATATGAAAACAATTTATTCTACAAATTTTAAAATTGGCTTATTAAATCATTAATTCTCTAACAGAGAAACATAGAGCTATGTTTAAAACAAAACTGTTATTTTTAGGGTGTGTTATATGATATAATACAAAATTACTTGAACAAGAAGTCAAGAACTGCTTTTTTTCATTTTTGGTAAATGTTAATTTTACAAAGAATAAAGCAATACACCTAACCTAAAGGAGCGGATCTCCCCATCACCTCGAGACACAACCAAGGACCAAGAAACAGCAAAAAGAATAAGAAAGGCACAATCCTTTACAAATCGGACCACCCCAGTAAAAATAAAAATAAATAAATAAATAAAAAAGGTCCTTAGATGCCTATACACAGAAACCACAAAACAACCCAACAAGGTGAACAAAGTCGCTGCACTCCCCAACAGGACGAAGGGGCCAAAAACAAATAGAAGGCACTCAGCCAACTACCAAAACTTCAACAACTGTCAACAGGTCAACACTAGCAGACCACAACCACAACCCACCATAATTAGAAACATGAGAGTGGCAAAAACCACACCAGCAGACCATCATCTCCTAACCAGCCAACCGAGGACCCAAACCTCCCCAAGCCAGAGCAAACTGTAAGGAATCGAGATAGAGACCAAGAGCAGGACAAAGAGAAGCAATTCAAGACAATGACACTGCCAGAGTATGCCTAAGAAAAGAGAAAAAGAGAATAAATTTATATATTCAATATATTGTAAGCCTGTACAATTGGCCAATTTATACATCTTTGTAAATGTAAAAAAAGAAAGAATGTAATGAATATAAAAGATCCCTGTAATTTTTCAATCAATCACTTGAATTAAGTTGATTAATTGAAACTCTAATTACTGCTTAATTTCAGCCAGCAGAGATTTAAGGAAATCAATAAAAGGAATTCCATATTTCGTCACTCCCCCTCAAGCTTGTGGTTTGTAGATGTCAAAAACTCCAAGCTTGTTAAGTAAATATGAATGTTGTCTGCTACATAATGGCTTTGTGAAGATGTCTGTTGGTTGTTCTGAAGTACGAATATGTAAAGTTTTGATTACCCCTTCTTGTATTTTGTTTCTGACAAAATGGCAATCAATTTTTATATGTTTTGTTCTTTCATGGAATACTGGATTTGCTGCTATGTCGTTTGTAGCCTTGTTGTCACAGTATAAAAGAACCGGTTTACTTACCTATACTTCTAGGTCCTTTAATAATCCCAGAATCTAGACAATCTCACATGTTGTCTTTGCCATGGCTCTGTATTTTGCCTCTGCTGAAGAAAGGGATACAGTCGATTGTTTCTTTTGTTTTCCAAGAAATAAGAGCTCCCCCTAGCTTGATGCAGAAACCTGTAAGTGATTTTCTTGTCATTAGACATGTGGCTCAGTCTGAGTCACAATGAGCTGTGATATCCAAACCTTTGTCTTGAGGAAGGAGAAGACCTAAGCCAGGACATCCTTTTAAGTATTTCAGAACCTTTATCGCAGCATCCATGTGAGATTGTTTAGGCTTATGCATGAACTGACTAAGGATGTGGACCGCATAACTGATGTCTGGGTGAGTCATGGTGAGGTAGATTAATCGCCCCACAAGTCTTTGATAATTTGTGGGGTCTTCCAAAAGTGGACCAACTTCAGTAGATGATATCTCATTGTATTATTCCTGAGTAGTCAATTTGATGTTTTGTTCTGCTGGAATAATACTTGGCTTGCATCCTGATAGCCCAGAATCAGAAATCAATTCCAAGACATACTTCCATTGGCTGAGAGATATTCCTGCTGGGGATCGTGCAATTTTGATTCCTAGGAAATATTTTGGTTCTCCTAGATCTTTTATTCGGAATTGTCTGTTGAGATGCTCTTTCAAGGATTTGATGCCCACTTCATCATTTCCTGTAATAAGAATGTCATCTACATAGATGATTAGAGCAATAAAGGTTTTACTTTTGTGCCAAATGAATAGTGCAAAGTCATTTTTGGACTGAACAAATTCTATGCCAATGAGAGCTTTGCTGAATTTCTAATTTCATTGTCCGGATGCTTGTTTGAGGCCATAGAGGGATTTTCGCAAATGACATACTGTATTCTCCCTTTGTTTGCGAATGTCGGGAGGAAGATCCATATAAATTTCTTCATGAAGATCACCATGAAGGAAAACATTGTTAACATCCATTTGATGGAGATACCAGTCATGAACAGAAGCCACTGTAAGGAAAGTACGAACGGTGACATGTTTGGCCACTAAGTGAAGCCTTTAGTTACCAATCGAGCTTTGTAACGTTCAACGGATCCATCAGCACGGTGCTTGATTTTGTAGACCCATTTACAACTAATGGGTTTTCTGTGAGAAGTACGAGACACTAGATCCCAAGTATGATTCTGAGTAAGAGCAGTAAGTTCATCAGCCATTGCTTGACGCTAGTGAGAGTATTGAACAGCATCTGAGTAACTAGTGGATTCTCGATCAGCGGAGATGTGACTAATATAGGCTCTGTGTACAGGAGAGAGACATCCATAACTCACATAATTGGAGGTAGGATATAATGTACCTGAGGAATCGGAAACAGTAGGACATTCATAATCTGCTGTCCAGATTAGAGGTCGAGTCTGCCAAGTACTGCGGCATGTGGGAATAACTGGAACTAGAACAGTGGATCCTAGTGTGGAAACAGTTGGAATAGGGGATTCGAGTCAGGAACCAGTAGTAGGAATCTGAATAGGTGTTTCTTCCTAGGGATCATTAGTGGCTGTTGTATCAAAATCATTGGTAGTGTAGCCAGGTTGAGGAACCAGAGGATTCGGTATCATATATAATATAGGATCATGTTGGATAGTATCTTCAGGAACCAGTCTGGGTGATGCAGATGTAGTAATGGTATCTTTGGCAAACGAAAAAGTGTCTTCATGAAACACAACATCTCTGGAGATTAGAAACT